ACCTCTCACTGTCCCTCCAAGCTTCCTCTCCTGTCTTTCATTTCAGCGCTGGCAAATGGCTCTGAGGTCTAGTAAATCTTTTCTGAGATGCGTGACAGACAAAAGAGAAACCGCTCTTCCAGGTTGATGGAGAGGGCTTCTGGATAAAGCTCCCACTGCAAAATGAAGCCCGCCCCCTACCCGACCCCCCGGGCTCTCTGCTTTTTCTTGAATCTGCTCAGCAGAAGCTGCAGCACTTTTGGATTATTCCAGAAATGGTTTCCTTTCGAGCCCTGCTGTCAGTTTTCTTTAGGCTGATCAGGCGGTTTATGGATGCTTTACTCTGAGCCGGGTGCCTTCAGTGACCCAGAACTGAAGACCCCCTCCGGGCAGGTTCAGCACTAACCGCCCCCTCCTCGCTCCCCTCCCACCGCCCCGCAGCTTCCCTGCAGATTTCTCTGCCCGCCCCCTCCCCATGGAAAGCCCAGGGCTGACGCCATCAGCATCCTCTGCGCCCTGCAGAATGCCCACCTCTCTACCCACCTGCCCTGCCGGCCCTTCGAAGCCTCAGGCTCTGAGCCCTATTGTCCTTGGAGTGTCAGGAAGCAGAAAACTCATTCCGAGTGAGGGTTGTTTCCAGGTCAGGAGAACAATTTCCTCCCGCTCCGGACAGCACTCTGCGGTCCAGCTCCAGAATTCTGGATTTAAGTCCCTTCTTTGCGAGCTTTCCTCTTCAGATCCTTCTGTAAGTAAGGGACACCATTTCTGCCCCTATTAAAAAGAGAGGAGGCTTTCATTTTCAGACTCGAAGTGCATCTGACTTGGATGGAGCATTTTTTTATGCTTGAAGAAGGGAAGATAAATTCACTTGCATGGAGCACATACGACCTGCCTCTGGATCCAATGTACCTGGGTTAATTCTCCCATATTTCACTTCCTCGTAGAATATGGACAGCCCATGGCTGAGATGGTAGGAAAAGGAGCGGCTGAGCTGAACCATACATGACCTGGGCTCCCTGCTCCCTGAAACACTGGGGATCTGCCACTCCCTGGATAATCGATAGTAGAAACTGCTTTGGTCAGAACACTGACGGGCCTTGTCTTCTTGGTCGTTTGGGTTGCTTTGAATTCATTTCTATAGATGTGGTGGGGATGAAGGACAGATGTGAAGTGATGAGTGCTAGCAGTTTCCCTTCCCCTGGCCGGCTCCCCCAGCCCTCTGGGGAGCAGACATTCTTGCTCGGTTCATCAGGCCACCCCGTGTCATGGGGATGATCCCGGTGAGAGATAGTTTGGGAAACAGACACCAGGCTGGCAAGTGGACAAGAGGAAGGAGGCCTGGTTGGCTGGATTTGAGACCCAGTGGAGACTGGGTCGTGTCCTGCAGGTGTGTGCATGCGTATGTGCGTGTGCGTGTGGGCATGCACACACACACACACTCTGTCTGAACCTCCTTGTTTCCCTTACCCCCTCTTTCTGCAGGGGCCACGCCAGACCTCCACCATTCTCGCAAACTCTGGCTCCCCCTCCCCCATCTCTTTCTTGGCAAACAGCCTTGCACCCTACTCCCCCATCCCCATGGGTGCTCACTCAACCTTCCTCCTCCAGATTTAGAGACCTCCCTACACCCAGACCCAGGGTTTCCTCTTCCTCCCCACTGCCACCCAGGCCCTGTCCTTCGTCTTCTCCAAGGCAGTCCTTCCTCCTGCATGTCGGATGCCACCCACTCCCTTCCGTGCATCTCAGGGACCAAGGGTGGACCACAGCCCCACACTTTTATTTAACCTCTTCTCTTCTCAAGTGACTATCTTCCATTGGAAGTATTTCCATCTGCTCAAAACTTCCGTATCCTCAAAATGCCAAGCCTCTACTCCCCATCCTTCCATTGGCCTTTCTGTCCCTCTCTTTCATAGTCTGGGTATCACAGATGTCCCCGCATTCATGGCCTCCGTTTCTTTCCCTCCCACTCATGCATTAGCTCTCCTTCCATACAGAACGCCATTTCCTGAGATCACCAGTGAGTCCAGTGCCTTCACACCCAAGGGCGTTTCTCAGTCCCCTTACCTTGCTTCTCAGCAGATTCGACACTGGTGATGGCTTTCATTTTCCTTCTTCTCCTCTGGAAACCACAGTCTGTGGGTTTTCTTCATACCTCTGATGGCACCTTCCCAGTTGCCTTTGGAATCCCTTCTATGCTACTTGTCTATTAATGAGGGCTTTCTCAGGGCTCCGTCCTGGGCGCTCTCCTCATGCCACCCTGAGGCCTCTTGTTCACTGACTGAGGTCACGACCTCAGTTACTGTCTACATGGGGTCGACTCCCGGATTTAGAACTTCCAGCCCGGGTCTCCCACCTGGGCTCCATGCCTGTTTATCCAATGGCCTCGCTGCCTCTCTGTCCAGTGCTTCCACCAGCCGAGCAGATGGAAATCCTGGGGTCCTCCTTGGTGCCCTGTCTCCTCTCACTTCGTACCCGGGCAGTTGTGCCCCTAAATGTCTCTGATATTTAACCATTCTCCCCTTCTCCACTGTTACTACCCTTGTCCCAGCCACAGCAATCAACGCTGACCCTCCCTGTTCACTAGTCCCTTCCTCTAGACTCCACACCTGGGCCAAAGTGCCCTCTTCAATGCGAAAACCTGACCATCTGACACTCTTGTTTAAAACCCTTAAACAGCTTCCTGATGCTCTGGGGATAATGTGCTTGGTTATTAACAGAGACTGTGAGGCTCCGGTCCTCTTTACATTTCTAGCATCGTCTGACACTCGCTCTCCCTCCCGAGCTCTGCCCCCTCGGTTCCTCACAGGGCACCCCGGAGAGGGGCAGCAATGCTACGAACGGTGAGTCTGGGACAACAGGACTGTGGTGGGGAAGCTGTGTGATTCCCCTACTCAGAGCTGACCTGCTCCCTGATGCCCAGATGTGTGTGCGTTCTACCCCTTCTGCCTGGGACTCTCTCTTCCTTGCCCCATCAGTTCTAGCTCAGCCTTCAGCCCTCATCCCAAGCTCAGACTCTTGGGTGACACCCTTTCATAGCACCCCATGGAATGCCTCTATGGTGCCCCTGAGCCTTCTCTGACTTTCCTTGTCGCTATTGTCATTTTGCAGGTATTCATGGGATCTTGGATGAATACTTATCTCCCCCTGCAAAGTGTAAGCTCCCCGAAATCAGGAACCATGTCAGGTTTGCTTCCCGATGTATATCCGGAGAGCAGTGCAGTGCCTGGGGTTTGAGTGTTGGCCAGTGTTCAGTAGGTTGGCAAATGCCTGGGTCAGGTGCTTGCTGGGAGGCGATCATGGCTGGTTTCCCATGTTTCTGCACATCTGCCTTTGTTGCTGACTATTTATTCAAGGGTTTTCGTATGTTGAACAGCCTTGGAAGATGGAGACAAGGTCTCTCTCCAAAACCAAGGACAGGTGGCTAACTTTCTGAGGCGGAGGTAACGTTTTCCTCTGGAGGAAAGTGTCTGCACCCTACTGCCCGCTAGGAAAGATCTGGGTTCTCTAGGAGCAGGGATCAGGGATCTTCTTCTGCAGCACAGTTGACTGTGTGGGTAGAATCTGGCTCTTCTGCTGTCACCCAGGCGGACCCGGGGCTCAGGTCACCAACACGAACCACACGGGTCCCCTGACTGCTGCCGTCACTGACAAGCTGCCCTTTATCTCTGACCCGGGAGTGGTGGGTCTTCTCCCAGCTTCCATGCCCATCCCCGGCTGGGTGAAATTGCAGACCTTTCGCAAGTATTGACATTGATTACACTAATTCTATTTTATTCATTCTGCATGTTTCTTGGACTTTGGTGTCAAGATGTGGAGAAACAAAGCACGAGAACTTTGTGAATCCCAGGTCCTGTTCGTGTTTTCATGAGACAAATGGCATCCCGGGATCACTGCTGTGTGATGCTGACGGGGGCGATGGCTTTGGTGGCCATCTCTTTTTTTTTTCTCTCGTTTTTGTATGTTCTCTTTTTTTTTTTCCTCTGATGTGTAGTTTTTTTCCCCTCTGAGTTCTTTAATCTCTGCTCTATTCCCGTTTAAGTGGTTAAACTAGTTTCTCGCACAGTGTTAGCCGAATCGTAGTGGGGACTCCTAAAGAGGGGAAACACGTTCCAGGTTTGGATAAGGATGGTGGGAAAAGCGCTGGCTCAGAAGTTAGGAGACATAACTTTTAGATCTGTTCCGGCATAACTAGTTATGCGAGATGGGGCAGGTCACGAAACTCTGGCTTCCTCATCTGAACTCGTGAGTGCGTGCATTCATTCATTCATTCATGTGTGCATTCATTCATTCGTGCACTCATTCATTGAACAATTGCTTCTTAAATTATTTGAAATAAATGATGCCATTGCTTCCTTCAAAGGACTCACACGCTAATGAGACAGATGAGAGAATTCAAGATCCTAACAGGATGTGAAAGGCATGATAACAGAGGAAGTCCTGGGGACCTACCGCAGGGCCCATGTGGGTGGGCAGAGCAGAAAGAGAGATTCACAGTGAACCGTGCAGGCAGCTGGGGTCTGAGCCGAGTCTGGTAGGACAAGTGCTTGGCCAGGAAGAAGGCCAGGAGGGAGGTTTTGGTCAAAGGAAGGAGAAAGTCCCAACAATTCCTGTTGAGCCTTTATTTACCAGACTGTGCCTCTACCAATAGATGGCCCCACGTCTCCAATGGTGTCACCCCTAGGGCCATGAAAAGTGCACCGGGCAGAAGGCAGCAGGACAACACACTGAACTCTACCATTAGCCCTATAATCTGGGCCCTGCCTTCTTGTCTGCCCAAAGGGGATGGTATCAGTATCCCTCAGGGGGTGGTGGTGGGATGTGAGTGCTCGGCAGGGCCCTGGCACATGGCAAACAGCCAAGCAACTGCATCAAAACTAGGGGAACACTTTGGAAATTATTCATGACTTTGTTTTTGCCTCTTTGAGAACATGACCTTCTCCCTAGTTGGCCCAGGATCTCCATCTGCCTGGGCTGAGAGGAGGGAGCAGCGACGAGAATCCTGCAGGGAACTAGAGGTAATTCTCAGTTTCCAACGGGCATAATAGGATTAGGCAACAAGAGGTTAGGCTTGAGAAGCAGGATACCGTCTTGAGGTGGCTTTACAGATTCTTTATTCCCCTACTTTGCTTCTTCTCCCCCATCACCTTCATCACAGTTGTCCGAAGGAAGACAGGGCAGTGCAGGGCGTCTGGCGGGAAGATGCCAGACTCCCATTATTTACATCTATGAGAGTCAATGAAAAGAGCTGAGCAGCCTCAGTCCCCAGGGGCTGGCTGCCCTTCCGGAAGCCTGCAGGAGGACAGAGCCATGCTGGCCCCTAAATAGCTCCCGCTCCCCATGTTCTTCAAACAAGCATATGCTTGGAAAACGACTGGTCTGAAAATAGCCGTATCATACCAGGTAGGAAAAAATATTCGCTCTCTCTTATTAATTACAGAAAGGGACAAAGCAATCCCAAGAATTTGGAAGCACCAAGGAAGATTTTCGATAAATCCTCGGGGTGCATTCAGTGCTGGAGCCCGCAAACATGTCCACTGATTTACATTTTTAAAAGGAAAGAGTGTTGTTTTAGAATTCTCTGGATTCCTGTCTCTTAGAAACGCTATTGTGCTTCCAAGGAGTTAGCATAGGATTAGACACGGTGACTGGAAGTATAAAAGTCTGCAAATTATCCTTCCTTTGGGGGTTATTGAGTTCTGTAGTTTGCTTTGCTCTTAAATGGTGCTTATTTGCTGCTTGTGGAAATGGAAACAGACACAGGATTTGTTCCAGATCTGAGCACTCGGAGTCAAATAAATATTTATTTATTTGACAGAGAGAGACACAGCGAGAGAGGGAACACAAGCAGGGGGAGAGGGAGAAGCAGGCAATAAGGCATCTCATTGTGCTCCTCGCTTTTTTTCACGAGAGAATGACATGTGGTGTTGTGCATTCAACAGATAAAGAGATGATTGCTATCAAATATTTGAGGCATTTCCTCCCACTCTTGAAATTTGAAATTTAATTTCTTTCCCTTCCAAAATAACATTTGACATATTTTAAAAAAGCCGAAAAGCGCCGCGAGGCTTATAGTGAAAAATAACAATCTGTGCCTAACGAAGAACGGGGACAAACCCTTAAAAGTCTTTTGCCTGTTTGTTCTGCTTTTTTAAGTTCTTATTTCTAAATAATAGGCTTATACTGCTCTTTGTTGATTTTTGATTCCTGTGACTTCCCACTTTTTTTTGATGCCCCTTCCCCACCCCCACCTCCATGCAATAAACACTTCCCAAGCTGCTGCCTTCCTCCCAACCATCACTGCTCAGTGCTCATGTGATCATGGTTATATCTGTATTTTTCGCAGCAATGCGGCATGTCCTTTTGTCATTCACTGTTGCTCTGTGTCAAATATTTGGAAGTCTACCTTCAGGGTGGACTTCTGAATTGAGGTGGGGTCATGTGACTGATCTGGCAACAAACTCCAGACCATTTAATTGTTGATGTGAAATTCTCCAGGGCTCTCTTTGCATCTGGCCACGTTCCAGAAGATGATTGCTCCATGGTCCGGGTCCTTTTGTGACTGTGATCAAGAGAGTCCTTTTTTCAACTGGCAGCGAGCAAAAGATAAGATCTGATTGTTTTAAGCTACTGTGGTTTGGGGGATGATGCTGGTTACCATGCTGTAACCAAAGTTTTCCTAACTGAATTCTTTCCTGAGCAAATGTTTATCTTTCCTGGAAATAGCAATGCGTCATTTAAAAAAGTTTGCTTAATTTTCTCTGTACCAATCAGAAATGCAACTCTGAAGTCTACACGAAGGGTCTGAATTTCTTCTCAGTATTTTTATCAGAGACTCTATTAATATTATCCTTTATCTACTCAAGGGTTGCCTTCTAGCTTCCTGCACAATTGTCTTCCTGGAGATTCTCTTCACCTCTCTGGAGCATAAATCCCCCAGTAACTTATTTTTGGCCAATGAGATGTAGGCAGCAATGCTGTGTGTGACCTTTGGAAAGTGTCCTTAAAGAGAAGAGACTTATCTCTCTCTTTCCTTCTTCAAGCTGCATGGAATAGAATGTGATGGCTGGAGCTCTGGCTGCTATTTTGGAACATAATGATAGGTTATCCTAAAGGAGTCCAGGTCCCTGATAATTGTGGAACCTCCAAACAAGCCCTCGGTTGCCTATCATCACACTTTTTTTTTTTTTAAGATTTTATTTATTTATTTGACAGAGAGAGACACAGCGAGAGAGGGAACACAAGCAGGGGGAGAGGGAGAAGCAGGCTTCCTGCCGAGCAGGGAGCCCGATGCGGGGCTCGATCCCAGGACCCTGGGATCATGACCTGAGCCGAAGGCAGATGCTTAACGACTGAGCCACCCAGGCGCCCCATCACACTTTTTTTTTTTAATGTGAAAAATAAACTTAAATGTCATTTACTCTGGTTTTGAATTTCTGGTCACATGAAGTTGAAGCTGATTCAAACTGAAATTTCCTTGTGCTTAGCTAAGTCCTTTGTTTTGGTGAAGGGCATCCTCTTATCTATCGTGGTTTAGTTAAGAAATAGAAGTGACTGTACACCCTAGATATGAGGGGATTTATAAAAAAAAAAGGAACTGTCAAATCATTACTTCACAACTTTTATCAAAATTCATTCCAAATGGATTAAATAATTAAAATGTAAAACAGGAAGTTATAACATATAGGTAAACAATTATGACTTTAAGTTGAAGGCTTTCTAAAGATGACACTAGTAGAAACCAAAAACAAGTTGAGTAGGGCTTAAAATGAAAATAAAATCTTTCATAGGACATATCACACCAAAACCAAAATAAACGAAAATTTATAGGAAGCCATAATTAAAACTCAAGGCTGCTGTTTGAAGGTTCTTTCCTTTCAGCAGTGTTTCTCAACATTGGCATGATTGACATTTTGGACTGGATAATTGTTTTTTATGGGGGTCTTTCCTGTGCAGCGTAGGATGTTCATCAACATCTCTGGCTTCTAGATGCCCAGTAGGTCCTCTGCCCTAGTTATTGACAACCAAAAATATCTCCGGACATTGCCACATGCCCTTGAGGAGCAAACTCAGCTCTGGTCGAGAAGATTGCTCTACATGGTGGTTCTCACATTGGTGCATGCGTCAGAATCACCTAGAATACGTGTAAAACACAGACGGTTGGGTCTTCTCCCTAGCATTTCTGATGTAATAGGTCTGGGGTGGGGTTTGAGAGTTTGCCTTTTTCATAAGTTCCCAGGTGGCGCTGAAGCTGTTGGCCCGGGGACCACACTTTGAGAACTTCTGATCTATCATCTTATGCTTGCAAATAAACACATCGTTCCCTAAAATATGAAATCAACAATAAGATTGACATTTCCAGGACATGGAAATGTTGTGACCATAGGTAATCAAGGTACATCTTGACAGTGGAGTTCAGGAGTTGAGAAACTGTGTTCTTAGACGAGATTGTAACACAGAGGCGAAATCTGTGATTTATGGATCAGAAGAAGATTTGGTTTACATTTGCTCTAAACTTTTCTTAAGTTTAATATCACTAGAGAGATGACCAAAATGAAAGAAACAGTCTCAAGAGAAATGATAAAGATGATAGCAATGAATCTTATTACTCTGTGTTATGGATGTCCACCCATCTTTACTCAAACATTTTCCAATTGCTGGTTAAGCTTCCTGTGATAGATACAAATGTCCAGGGGCTATGTAAAAAAAAAAAAGCTATGCAAACTTCTTCACTTACTGCCACATAACTTTTAATAGTTCACCTAAATAGTTTTTGTTCAAATAGCAGAAAACTGCTAGAATTGATCCTGTACACCTTTCTGCAGATAGGCAAAAAAAAAAAAAAAAGGAAATACATCATTATGGCCTGAATTTCAACAGATGGCTTATATATACTATTCCAGGTTTACCAGACATGATGCAGTTTTAGATCATCACTTTTGAGCACCAACCAGCCCCTGCTCTGTATGCCCTGCGCATTGTTTATTACAGCCAAGTGAATCCAGCACGGAAATGATCTATCTCGCGCCAGCAAGCTACAAACAAAACCAATAGCCCTGTGCTGGCAACATTATTTTATTGTTGTCTCCTTGATCTCCTCTATTCTTTTGCAATTACTTTTATTAGTATTGCTCATTTGATGAGACCTTGGAGTTCGGAGCCAGATGGTGCCTTTAGTTAAATCTGGAAGATTCTAATGGAATTGAGTTCAAACCAGGCTAAGAGTAAGAGAATTACAAATCTCTTAGCATACTGCTTTGTGTACCTTTGGCACCACAGAAATTAGTGCAGGCTCCAAACGGGAAGCCCCGGATTAAGGTTCAGAGAGACTACGTGTGTTCCTATCTGGGATGCAGTGTAGCACAAACAAGACTGGGCATGCCTCCTGCCTCACGGAGACTGTAGTTTCCTAGAAGTGAAGGACGATAAGAAGCAAGCAAGCAAGACCACCAGGCATTGTGATAAGTGGCAGGAAGGGGGCAAGCGGAGATGATGTGGAGGGGTGCTCAAGAATGCTCTCTGAAGAGGTGCTCGTTAAGCTGATGCCCAAATGATGGGAAGGGGCTGACTTGGGGAAAGCAAGAGAAATGCCATCACTGTCTGGTAGAAGGAATCGGGGAAAGGCTGTGGGATGGAAGTTGTTTTGTGTCCTCAAGGAACTGCAAGGACACCTGTATGACTGGAGCCTGGAGAGGGAAGGCGGGTGGCCCCAGATGAGGCCAGAAGCTACTGGACCCAGAGATGTTGCATGGAGCAAATGGACATTCGGACCCTGAGATTATCCAGGGATTTTTAATGACCTCTGTGGCAACGTGCTGATGAATAAGACCCATAGAAAGAATATCTTTGGGATCAGAGCAGTAAATATTCATGATCCAGCCAGTCTATGAAATCATCAGAAGCATGATTTTGACCCTTTGTGCAGAGGGCAGGCAAAACGGAGGCAATATTTTGATTAATCGCCTTGGCTCACGTGGTAGCGTTAATTTCATACTTGCATACCACACTTCTGCTAGGGCACAGCGGTGGTGGTAATTCTACCCAGTGTGTCCTCTTCATCCTTCCTGTTGGTAACAATGGCTGGTCTGCCTCTAACCAACATCCTGCCCCACACTGTGTCCCTAGTAAACGGCCACAGTCCCCTTCCCAGAGGTCTCCTTTCTGTTCTGTCTTCCTGGCCTTGGTCCAGAAGGCCTGGTCCTTCTGTCAAGGCCCAGTTCAGACACACACCCACCTGGGAGTGAGGTCAGGAGGAGTGAGTGAACTGCCAAGAACTCTTACAGCAATGGATACTTCCCTTGCTGGCACTCATATTTGTCTTGTGTAAGCAGGGTGATCTAGATCATTCGTTCATTTAAGGTATTCTCTGGACCTGTTGTCTTATACATAACAGATGTGAGAAAGTATATATTGAATTCCATTCTTACTAGCATTTACCATTTATTGAGCAATTAATTGGTCAAGGGTTCTTCCAAGTGTTAGTGATTTAATCCTTATGTGATGGTTAATTTTATGAATCACCTTGGCCGTGGTGCCCAGATACTAGGTCGAACATTTTTTTCTGGATGTTTCTCCAAAAATATTTTCAAATGAGATTAACATTTTAATAAAGCAGATAGTCTTTATAAAATGTGGGTGGGCCTCATCCAATCAGTTGAAGGCATCAATAGACAGAAACTGACCTCCCCGGAGCAGGATGGAATTGTGGCAGCAGACTGCCTTTGCTTTGAATTGCAACCCTTCTTGGGTCTCCCACCTGCTGGCCCACCTTGCAGATTCTAGACTTGCCAATCCTCCACCATTGTGTGAGCCAATTCCTTAACACAAATCTCTCTCTCTCTGTCTCTGTCTCCCTCTGTTTGTCTGTCTCTCTGAACACCCTGTTGGTTCTGTTTCTCTGGAGAACTCCGATTAATAACACACTTTATATCTTACTATTTATGCCCATTTTACAGATGTGGAAGTTGAGGCATTAAGCACCATGCCCAAGGGCAGACACTTGATGAGTGTGGAGCCAAGATTCCAGGCTAGGTCTTTCTGAGCCACAGCACAGTACAGCTTCTCCTGCATGAACTTGAAGGATGAGAACACAGCGACCTGCTCATAACACACACTATTTACTATAAATCATCTCTCCTTTTTAATATTCCCCAGGTATGGTGGGCTTTTATAGCACGTGAGAATCATCAACGCACAAACGCCTTATCATTCAGGTGAAGGGCAAAAATTTCCATTAGCAGAGAAGGCTGGTTGATGGCTACGTACACAGTGCTTGACCTATTTAGGCCCTATATATGAAGTCCTCTCCTTTATGATCATGATTTCCAAAAACATCTTGAAATAACCACACAATTTTCACACACAGTTAACTACAAGATCTTCAGAAACACAAGAGAGAACTAAACACACAACAGTTTAAAATTCACAGTTTTGCGGAAAATAAGATTACATCTCCCCTCCCTTCTAAAAATGTCATTAAAATAAAGAGAAATAGACAGTACATGTGGATGAAATTAAAATAGAGAAAAACAAACTGCGCACACAGAGTCCTGAGCCTCTTGATGTCTTTCGCCGTGGGCTAAAGTCCCATCTTGAGGTCAAAACTTCAAAAGTAGCCTCAAACTGGAACTTTTCCATAGGAAGAGCCAGCAGTGAATATTGACCCCAGGATCAATTGTTTCTGTTTAAGCTGTAGACTGCTCCAGTCAGAGAGAGCAAGCCAGGTCCCAGTTGATAAAGAGCTGCTTTCAGCTGGACTTGTCACCCCCAAACGCATAGGAACGATCTCGCTGCCTCTGAATTAAAATGATTCTTCCCAGAACGGAGAAGATGATGATGAAGATATTGATCGTGTTTGTGCTTGGAATGAACTACCCGTCTTGTGCAGGTAAGCAACTCAAAGACACGGGCCCCCTGCCCCAAATGCTGTGGCGCTGTGCTGGCCCTGTGCTTTGTCTCACTGTTTCGTCCAGGTTTCCCGGTGTATGACTATGACTCGTCCTCCTTGAGGGAAGCCCTCCGTGCGTCCGTGGCAAAAGTGAATTCCCAGTCCCTGAGCCCGTATCTGTTTCGGGCGTTCAGAAGCTCTGTAAAAAGAGTAAGTGCATATTATATCTTCTTGATTCCTCTTTATATATACTGCTTTCTGTTATTTATTTTTTCTGTCTGTTGGGTACACTTTAAACACTTTTCCAGTTTAAAAAGATAATAGCTAGTCCTCTCTTTCGTACTGTTTTTGGACAGAGAAGGAATTTAATAACAGTTACTGTCCTAAGGCCCTCCAAGCCACTTTTGATGCAGGATTCTTCTGGAGTATCTACCCTCTGGCCTGGCTTCCCATTTCCAGATGTTGCCCTGCATACACCCTGCTTCTGTATCCACAGCCCCCATGGTTCCTCTTGAGATGTTTTAGTAAGAGCTCGTTTATTAGAAATGAGGCTTTTTCGATTTCAGCAGTCTTGCTCCTCATACCTAGAGGCAATAAATTCCGGCTTTTAAGCCCAAGAAATCCCACCTTCCTTTGTCAATTTGGTAATGGTCTGTTTCCTGTTAGCTTGGGGAAATGTGAATTTTCTTGAGCTTCCAATGACTTGGTCTGTGATTGGCAAAGAAAGAAATGCAGAAATTTGTTTCAAAGGAAATGAGGAGCCTGGAGAGCGAGTCACCTTCCCCTCCTCCGTCTGCAGGTGACTTCGAGGCTTACTCACTGTCCAGGCGCGGTAAGAACAGAAATTGCCCCAGGCTAGTGGGTGCTAAGATAGGAGGTGGGAGAGGTTCTGTAAACTCACAGGTCCTATGAATGAGAGTTCTGTGCAGCCAGGCTTCTTCAGAGCAGAACCAATAGAATGTGTGTATATATGTGCGTGTGTGTGTGTGTGTGTGTGTGTGTGTGTGTGTATGTGTGTGAGAGAGAGAGAGAGAGATATGGGGGGAGAGGGAGGAGAATGAGTAAAAGATTTATCGTAAAGAATTGGCTTATACTATGTGGAGGTTTGGTAAATCCAAAATCTGTAGGGTGGGCTGACAGGTTGGAGGTCCAGAAAAGAACTGATTCTTGCAGTTCACGTCTGAAGGAAGTCTGCAGGCAGAATCCCTTCCCACTCAGGAAAAAGACAGTCTGTTCTATCCAGGCCTTCAATTGATTGCATGAGGCCCACCCACATTAAGGAGGATGAGCTGCTTTACTCAAATCCACCAGTTTAAAATGTTAGTCCCAGGGCACCTGGGTGGCTCAGTGGTTAAGTGTCTGCTTTCAGCTCAGGTCATGATCCCAGGGTCTTGGGGTGGAGTCCTGCGTCTGGCTCTCTGCTCAGTGGGGAGTCTGCTTCTCCTTCTGCCTCCCCCCATCTCTTGTGAATAAATAAATAAAATCTTTTTAAAAAAATAAAATGTTAGTCCCATCCAAAAAACACCTTCACAGAAATATCCAGAGTGTTTGACCAAATATCTGAGCATCGTGGCCCAGGCAAATTGACACATAAAATTAACAATTATAATCACCCGAAGGAATTTGTTATGGGTTTTTATTGCTCGGCCATTTTTGTTTCTTTTTGGAATAAAATACCAAAATATGCTCATTATAAAATGTCAGAAAATATAACAAGAAAGAAAAAAGCAAAAATATTATCTATTATCCATTCCTCTGAGACATCCACTGTGAGCGTGTGGGATAAGGCCTTTTTGGATCCTTTCCATGTATTGGTATAAAACAAGTTTTTAAAAAGAAAAACAGGAGCACAGCGTAACATCAATTATAAAGTCCCACAGTTTACTTCAGCAACAATGCTGGATTTGGGATTTTACCTAGTTGATTCCTTACTGTCAAGCATTTAGGTTGTCCCACCTTTTTCAAACAACACAGAGTGGAAATTAGCGGATTGAAAGTGAGTTTGGATGAAAAAGCAAAACCATTAGGCTTTTCTCCTTATTCTGAACAGAGTGCTTAAAGAAGCAAAGAAAAGTTGCAAATTCATCTCATAGTTCAATAAAATTATCTGTACTCAAAAAATCCCACATTTTCATCATTTTAACTAAGCCTTTGTCTTGTCAGTTTGTTTTCATTGGATTGCTTTGAGGGAAATTGCTGGAGCACTATCTAGGTGGAGGGCCCCAACAATGCACTCTGGCAGAGGGCTTTATTTTTTTATGAAGCTCAGATTTATTATCCAATATTTTAAAATTATGACTAAATGCGGTAATAAATATTGTTGAGGCTGAAGTTTTAGTCTTACTTGTTTCCAGAAAACTTTACTTCTATGAGCACTCTTCCCCCACTGTTAGAAGGGGACATGAAGGTCCCCCATCCCAGGCTTGGAGTTTGTCACTTATTTCCAAATGCAGTGTTCTACCTGTGCCCATCCTTCCGAACATGTGAGCGGTCTCTGTGCTCATGGAGGGTTCTCCCCACCCTCTCCTCACTGGGAAGTTGGTTGAATGTGTGCTGACTCAGCTTTGTCACAAGGTGGGCTCAAGGACTGAAAGGGACAAGAGTTTTGGAGTCTGGGGGGTGTGGTCAGGTACTGGGCCATGGCAGCTCCTATCTGGCCTCCCTGCTGCCATCTTGTTCCTGCCGCAGTGTGGTCTCTTTGCAGCAGCCGTGGTGATTTATATCTTAGCTCTTAAATTCTTCTGAGAACTTCCCGTTGCAATGAGAATGAAATCTAAACACCGTCCCATGGGTGACAGGACCATAAATTACGTGACACACCCTGACTGTCACACATCATAGTGTATGGTTCTCCTCTTGTTCATTTGCTCCAGCCACAACAGCAGGACTTATTCTGCCCCAGGACATTGGCCCTGCTTTTTCCACACATGATGGGCTCTTTCCCATTCTGTAAGCCTCAGCGGCAAATATTTCTTCCTCGGGAGGATTTCTCTGGCACTTTCTCTACAGCAGCTACTTCCTCTTCTCCACCCCCATTACCATGTTGTTTGTTCCTTCATAACACCATAACCTTCTAGAACGACCTTGCTTACTTCTCTTTAAGGTGTTTACTGTGTGGCTGTATGTAATCTAAGCTGGAACCTAAGCTGCACGGAGTCTTCCCTGCTCTGCCTTTGGGGCTGGACACACTGTGGGCGCTCATTAAGTCACGGGACTTCCGTGTCATCAGAGCATCACAGATTCATCACGAAGTTTGGAAGTTTCCCCCAGTATCCCACCCTTGGTGGAAGGGAGTAGACAACTGTGTGAACTCATTTGTGGACCACAACTGATCAAACAGGAAGCAGGATGGGGTAGCACTGTACAGCAGAGATGTACTTATCACTTCATTTCTTATTTCAGGGATTATTAAGAAATTATGGGGACATTCTTTTAGCAAAATGATCCTTAAAAATACAGTTGAGGGCGCCTGGGTGGCTCAGTTGGTTAAGCGACTGCCTTCGGCTCAGGTCATGATCCTGGAGTCCCGGGATCGAGTCCCACATCGGGCTCCCTGCTCGGCGGGGAGTCTGCTTCTCTCTCTAACCCTACCCCCTCTTGCGTGCTCTCTCTCTCTCTCTAATAAATAAATTTAAAAAATCTTAAAAAAAAATACAGTTGATTCTCATTATTTGTGGTAGTTGTATTCTATAAAATCACCATGCACACTAAATTGGTACATATGGAACCATTGCTCCTGGTCTAAATTAGTATATACTGAACGATTGCTCCTGGTCTAACACATGTGTTCTCTCCATGTGGCACATCCAGACCTTCTGGTGCTTAGGAGCACGGACGGCACTCTAGGACTACACTTGGGGGCCATTTGAAACAATAAAATCACCAAGAAAAAAACCTCACAAAAATGAGAAAAACATGGTCCAAAATAAACCATGAAAGTGACACTTGTCTACAGTATGACAGCAGAAGTGAGAAGGCAGAGCGCTGCCTTGTCTGATCTCAGTTAGGAACATGTGCACAGGGCAACTCAAGTTCTTTGCCACTCTGCACTTGTCTGTGGATGACTGCAAAGGGACCCTGAATATTGATTTTGGGGATTATGAATACATTTTAGTGAGTAGGCACATTTGCAAAAATGGAATCTCTGAATCATGAAGATCAACTGTAAATTAAGTCATCAGAAGTAACATTGACCTTGCAGTTCAGACACCTAAGTTCTGGTTCCATTTTTTTAAATGAAGTATTATGCACCTTTAGAAAAGCACTTCTGGTCTCAGACTGAGGGGGTGGAACTGGGGATTGCTAAAACCACTTAACAGCTTTCACCATGAAGGAGTCTGTAACTTTGTCTCATTGTGCAGGGAGAAACATTTGTAGCGTTGTAAACTTCAGCATCTCACCAAGGCACACTAATGCTTTTTCTTTGTGAAGGTCAACGTTCTGGATCAGGACAGCTTGAACATGGACTTAGAGTTTGGCATTCGGGAGACAACATGCAGGAGAGATTCTGGAGAAGACCCCACTACCTGTGACTTCCAAAGGGTCTACTACATGGTAAGTATGGCAGGAAACGCCGTATCCCAGAAAGTAGCAGGACGAAGCGCCCTGCTTCTTCCGTGACCTGGAGCTGTTCCAAGTCATAAGGAGACCTTGGCCCCTGCCTGGCATCTGGCCACACTGGGAGGCACGAGCTGTGTCCATACTGTGTTCCCCTGGGGAAGGGGCAGTGTGGCTCAGTGGTTGAGGACTTGGGCTCTAGAATTTATGGTCTTGACTGATCCTGGCAAATTATTTAAGCCCTGTTGCCTCAGTTTCCTGCTTCTTGAAATGGGTAGAATGATGGTTCCAGACAAAGTGAATACAAAGAGGCCAATCCCAAAGGCAAATTCCAGAGATGTTTCAAATTCTGTTTTAAATGAATCTAAAATGCCAACTGTGCTCTTGGCGTGAGTTGCATTATTTTGTAGTTGACTGTTGTATGATATCTGCCCCCCTCCTCCTCACTGGCTTGGGCTCCATGGGGTCAGGACCATGGTATGTTCAATTTTGTATCCCCGGTGACCAGAGCAGGGCCCAACACTTGGTTACCATCCATGGGCAAGGGTCTGGTGGATCCGGTTTGTGCCACCATCCAACACTTGCTCTCCAGGGTGTTTGTGTTCAGATGTATGAGTTCTCGGGTTTTGTTACTTTATGAGTTTGTTATTTGATGAGTCACTTTATGTCAGGGTCCCTTCACAAGAGTGTAAATTCTGAAAAGGGAATCCTTTGTTTTGTTGTTTTCATGAGACTTTTCTCTGTGACTGTTTTATGAAGGACTCAAACCCAAGTGTCACAGCATCTGTTCCTAACAGAATCTGAGGTCAAAGTAGAGAACAAAGTCCTTTGGGTTCTTCTCACTTCCTTTTGTTCCATTGGGAAACTTCGGGGCAGCCCACTCCGTGCTCTTGGAGGAAATGGTTGCTCTCCCGGGGGAGTCGTGATACACCAAATGCCTAACAGATCTTTAAATATTTCATTTGTTTCTGCTTCAGTCTTGAGAAATTTTCATTTTGGAAACATGAAATGCCTCTGTGAATTTTTCCTTTCTGTTTGCGTCATTCTGGCAGGCCTTACAGTATTGCCTGACCTCTCACATAGGTCCTAACCCTTTCTATGAGCTGCTGAGGATTGAACTCAATGTGTTCTTTTCCAGCCCTCAGCTATTTGCAGAAGCACGGTGCGGTTGTCTGCCGAGCAGGTGCAGGACGTGTGGGTTCGCTGCCGCTGGTCCTCCAGCTCTGAGTCTAACAGCAGCGAAGAGGTAGGACCAGGGGCTTGGTGTCCTCCAGAACAGTCTGTGTGGGTCTGTGACAATCAGACTGGTGTGATAGAGTCACGGGAACATCACCCAGGCAGGGGCGAGTACAGCTCTGCTGACTCGGCTGGAGTCTCCCCTACTTCTCCAACCTCTTCTCTCTCTCTCCCACTCTGTCTTTATTTCCCAGAGATTTGGAAACAGAGAGCTTAAAGCAATAGTTGACAAATCTTTAAAGATTTAGATCTAAGTATGCAGCTCCCTGGCCCTGTGGTTTAGTGGAGGGAAGGGGGAGGGGCATTTTTGTCGGACTAGTGTTCAAAACCATTCAGCAGCTCCGCAGTCTAGGTCAGGGCGCTTGACTCCATGATCTGCTGCTTCTTCATCTGTGAGATGCCAAAAGTAAAAGCCACCTGATAATGTAGAGAGAATTGAGTAAGTTGGTGGACAAGAAAGACCTGGTCCAGCATCTGGTCCACAAGAGATGCTTGGTGAATGGCAGGACCTGGCTTCCCCCACCCCAAATGTGTTGAAATTGATTTGCAATCATTCTGTAAAATTAACAATATGTAAATTTCCGACTTGAACATATATTACATGTTTATTTGTCTGTCTACTTATTAACTGCTTTTCTTACTAGAATGTATGTCTCCTGAGGGCAAAGAGTGTTAGTTTTTGTGGGTCTAGGACAATGTTTGATACAGGGTAAATGTTCAGTAAATGCTTGTTGAACGGAGGAAGAGAGGGTCAAGAATATGATATGAGGAGGAAACCTCTTGACTCCAACTAGGCATAAAAACATAATTGTTACATTATTTATTCAAGATGAGATAACATTTTTGACTGGTATTTTAAAATATTTCTACCATGCTACAGCTGGATCTGTCCAATGACAATCTTTCTCTACTCAGATTTTTATTCAGTTTTTCAAGATTTCATTCTGTAGGCAAAAATTATGTTAAAAGAGTAAAGGAAATTCACCTTCAATAATTCTATATAAAAATTAATGTTCTTATATTATGAATATACTCACACCTTAAATATTTCGCGTGGAAGTCCATTGTAGGGTTAGGACATGAGGAAGCTAATGGCTAGGAGGTCCCATGACAGGGGACAGTTTGACAGGTGCAGGACGACTAAGTCCAGGTGCTAGGACCTTCTCCACAGAAGTGTTTGATTGATCTCGTGCACACTGGCACCTTTGAGGATCAATCCACAGGTGGTTTCTGGGCTTTCCATGGAGCCATGGTTTCAGGATCTAGTTCCTGGGTGTTAGGGCAAGTACAAAGGGCCTCCTTTTCTAGACTCCACTGAAGCATCTAGAAAGTCAGGTGTGTTTCCTCACCGACACACTCACACGCTCATGGCCTGCCTGGCTAATCCAGAAATGACAAGTACCAAGCACAGTGTTTCACAAACATTTTGTTCATATTGATTTTGTGGCTTATATGGGAACAGCCAGGGAGACAGTGAGGGGTGAGACAAGCAATCCTAGCTCCCGAGGAATTTGTAGACTAGTGGGGGGTCCATTCAGCAAGAGCGATCCTGACTACCAGGCCAGCATATGGGGCACATGTCAAGAGGACAGAATCTCATCTGGGTGCAGGAGAGCTTCCCTGGGGGACCTGATGTTCACATCAAGAACTTCCATCAGGACAAAGAGGACAGGTATGCAGGGGAGGGAGGAAGAGTGACTCTAAACACAAGGGGATCATGAAAGAATTCACTGATGCATGAGAAGCTGGTTGGGTTGGAACAGACAGAAATCATTACGACCGCAATGAGCAAAATATGGGACAGAGGCATAAAGGTTGATCTGGAGAGGAAGTCAGGATGGACCTCAGGGGTCATGTCTAGGATCTCTGGCTTCATTCTAATGGCAATAGGCCTATTGGCTAAGAGCAGGAGAGGGCTCTAGGAGGCTGGAAGGACAGGTGAGGGAACGCTAGCCAGTGCCAGGAGTTAGTAGTGAGTGTTGAGAAGTGGATTCTAGTTCATTCTATAACCTTTAACACATTGAACTGAATTCAGTAACTGCCCTCCCCCCATTTAACCCCTCTTCCATCTCTGATTTGGGAAGTTGATTCTGATCGCATAGCCCACAAATCTGTTGCAACTTTCTCATTGCATAGTGAGGACTATGCACTTTTCTTCCAATCCGAGTTTTGTAAGAAGATTCTGACATTAAGTTAAATTGGCCCTTGAAACAAACAATATTTTAAAATAAACTCTCAGGTGGATGTTCCTCAAAGATTAGGAAATTGTAAAGAATTACAAGCAAATTAAAAAAAAAGAATTCCTTAAATTAAAGAATGCTGTAATTCAAAGGAAGAAGAAGAAAGCAGATGGAGATTTCAAGTAATTCCTGGAAACTCTGAAATAAATTTCTTATACGAAACAGAAAAAAAAAAAAGAAAAGAAAACAGCTGTTAACCATTTTCGGTGAAATAAGCAGTGATATTACAAACATGAAAGAGAATAGACTAGGATGAATTTAGTCATCAAACAAGTAAATCATTGTTGGAAGTAGGAAATGGAAGAAATAAAAAAAAAAAATCCTGGAGTAGTGAAAATGAAGATCATTTGAAAAACATATGTAGGTTCTAGAAAAATTTCCAGGGAAAGGAACTTAATGTGAAGAAAGGTGTAAGCCATGGAGAATAAGACTAAAAATCCAAAATATGAAGAATAAGGACTTCGATCAAATGGAAAGTATCTCCTAAGGATATAATGCGAGAAATTGCTGCATATACGAAGTTTGGATTTTTCCCTACATGATTTTTATTTTTATTTATTTATTTATTTAAAGATTTTATTTATTTATTTGACAGAGAGAGAGAGACAGCGAGAGAGGGAACACAAGAAGGGGGAGTGGGAGAGGGAGAAGCAGGCCTCCCGCCGAGCAGGGAGCCCGATGCGGGGCTCGATTCCAGGACCCCGGGATCATGACCTGAGCCGAAGGCAGACGCTTAACAACTGAGCCACCCAGGCGCTCCCCTTTACATGATATTTAAAAGGATAAAAACTGTAAGGAAATTTGAGGAAAAAAGTTTCTAAATTTGCTAATATCCTTCTCTCCTTAGCCAAATACATATCTGTGTTGAGGGTAGTTTCCATTATATGTGTTAATTTTGAAAGTGAAATAGAGGATAAAGGGCTCTGGACAGGACAGGAGCACGCAGCCAAACACTTTGTCGTTTCATCCCCATCCAGAGTGTGATGCTAACACCTATAGGTTGACGAGTGAACTTGACTTTTGACAAACCCTGGTTTCGAGTAGATGGGATGAGATCTGGCTAAGGCTTTAGCAAAGAGACCCAGAAACAGTCCAAAGGAAGAAAGAGGAAGCAGAACTAATATGGAATTCTGAGCTCAGGGACGGGGAGGTGACAGGCATTTGATTTACTTACTGCATTCCATTTCCAATGATAGAAATTCAACTGCAAGTCGCCTAAGCTCCAGTGGGGTAAGTCCCTGGATCACGTTCCCAGAAAGGACTGGGAAGAGTTGGCCTCAAGGACCAGTTAATTTAGGAGCGTTCAACACCACTTGTGCCACATTTATTTCTCCCCCTCTGTCTCCCTCCCTCCCTCTCCCCCTCCCCCTCTGCCCTGCCCCACCCCACCCCCTTCTCCTCTCCCTCTCTTACTGCAGATGAACTTTCTCCTTGTAGCAGGAAGCAGGGTCACAATGTACTCCAGATTCAGATCCTTTAAACTTAGGAGGAAAAGGGAGCATTTCTCTCTAGCTCTACTGGAGATGCCTCTTGACATGATTCCCGTTGGCCTGGCTTTGGTCATGTGTTCCCCCTTCCCCCCGCCACCTTTTATAAATTACACCTTTATTGGGTTATAATCCACATAGTATATAAGTCACCCTTACAATGTGTCCAGTTCAGTGGTTTTTAGTATATTCATAAGGTGGTACAACGGTCACCACTATCTAAATCCAGAACGTTTTCATCTCCTCGAAAAGACACCTCATCCCCAAGAGCCCCCATTGTGTGTTCCTCATTCCTCCAGCCCCCAGCAACCACTCATCTACTGTCTGGCTCTACAGATTTGCCTATTCTGGCCATTTCGATATAAATGGAATTATGTATCCTTTTGTGACTGGCTTATCTCACTGAGTATCATGTTCATACCTGTTGTAGGATATATTGGAACTTTGTTCCTCTTTAGTGTTTGTACGGATATACTATGTTTGATCTATCCATTCATCAGTTGATCAACATTTGGGTTCCTTCCACTTTTTGGCTTTTATAAATAATGATGCAGTGAGCATTCACGTGCGAGTTTTTGTGTGGACTTATGTTGTTATGGCTTTCAGTGGCTTCCTGAAGACTACTTGTGCAAGCCTTTTCCAAACTGAACACATTATGGGAACTTCATAGACAGGAAACCTCCACATCTGATCTAAATGCAGTCTATTTGCAAGTCCACATAAAAGGTTCCATCTTTCTGGTCCCTAATATTTGGGAGCACATTCTGAGTCCAGTGGAAAACTTTTTAGGCAATTTAAACTTCATGTAAGTTACTCTTCCCATGTGCTTTCTTAGACACACATGTTTGACTCCATGTAAAATTATTTAATAAAATATGTTGCCTTATTTCATTAACAATGAATTATGTAATGCATCAGAGTCCTCCAGATAATATTTGCATATTTTACAGTGTCTCCTTCTTTCTTTCATGTGTTGATATATCCCGATGCCTACATTGATTTAGATGTTTTTGGGGGACATATTGGGATCCTCTAGATGGAGAAACAACTATCCACTTGGTAAGTTGAGATCTGTTCTTTTTAATGATTTTTTTTCTTGAAACAACTTCATTTTAAAGCTCTGTTAGTGAGTCATTTAAAACTGGAAACATCGATACATAACTTTTGAACATTATACTAATTCCAGAAAATAAACATTTTCTTTTATTTTTGTTCCTTTCTTTTTTTTTGACCTTTTTAAAAAAAATTTCAATTAGCCAACATATAGTACATCATTAGTTTTTGATGTAGTGTTCAATCATTCATTAGTTGTGTATAATACTCAGTGCTCATCACATCACGTGCCCTCCTTAATGCCCATCACCCAGTTACCCCATCCCCCCACCCACCTCCCCTTCCACAACCCTCAGTTTGTTTCCCAGAGTCAAGAGTCTCTCATGGTTTATCTCCCTCTGATGACTTCCCATTCAGTTTTCCCTCCCTTCCCGTATGATCCTCTGTGCTATTTCTTATATTCCACATATGAATGAAACCATATGATAATTGTCTTTCTCTGATTGACTTATTTCGCTTAGCATAATCACCTCCGGTTCCATCCAAGTTGATGCAAATTGTGGGTATTCATCCTTTCTGATGGCTGAGTAATATTCCATTGTATATTTGAACCACATCTTCTTTATCCATTCATTTGTTGAAGGGCATCTCGGCTCCTTCCACAGTTTGGCTATTGTGGACATTGCTGCTGTGAACATTGGGGTGCATGTGCCCCTTCTTTTCACTACATCTGTATCTTTGAGGTAAATACCCAGTAGTGCAATTGCTGGGTCATAGGATAGCTCTATTTTCAACTTTTTGAGGAACCTCCATACTGTTTTCCAGAGTGGCTGCACCAGCTTGCATTCCCACCAACAATGTAAGAGGGTTCCCCTTTCTCCACATCCTCGCCAACATTTGTTTTTCCCTGTCTTATTAATTTTAGCCATTCTAACTGGTGTGAGGTGGTATCTCATTGTGGTTTTGATTTGTATTTCCCTGATGACAAGTGATGTGGAGCATATTTTCATGTGTCTGTTGGCCATTTGTATGTCTTCTTTGGAGAAGAGTCAGTTCATGTCCTCTACTCATTTCTTGACTGGATTATTTGTTTTTGTTCCTTTCTTTCCATTAGGCAACAAAGATACAACTTATCATTTAGGTATCCCTTTATATTTATACAGAGATTTTCCATACATGATTCCATCTGATGGCCCCATGTGTCAAATAAACAGGGCGGATGTTGGATTACATCTTGAGAGGGTCCCCTAACTCGAACATGCTTGTTTCATCCTGGGTGCACAGCCCAACTTACAGGGCCCAGGTGTGCAATAACTTGTGGCTGGACTGTCTAGACTAAAGCTCATCTAGTGATTGAGGTTGAATTCTGTTATCTTCCAGCCATGTGATGAGAGCTGACCATTGCTTTAAGTGGCTGGTTTGGGGGAGAGGGGGCCCTCCTTTCTTTCCTTGTTGTGTGGCCTCTCATTTGAAGTGGGATTGGGTTAGGAGACATTTTTACTTTCCTGAGGTTTTTCCCTATTGGTGCTGATGGCAGCAAAACTGTTTGGTGATCTTCCATTGCTTCCTTGCTTAAGAGGTATATTGGGGGCATCAATAATAAGATCACGGAACATTCTGGAGTGGAGAGAAGGGCCTTGCCTTATGACTGTTCCTGTATTACAGGTTTCATTTCTGATAAATCCAGAAGTGAATTGTATGAACGGTCACTTGGTAAATAGTCCTACTTTCTTCCATACGACACCAACAGATGCTTTCGGATCAAACCAGAGTCTGCTGAAACGATTTCATAGTAGATTAACCCCTGAAATACGAACTATTTTAAATGAAAATGAAGAGAACAGTACTGCATAAACTTGCTTTGCAAATCACTGAAATGGTAAACTTGAGGCATCACAACTCACTTAAATGTTAGCAGGAATCAAAATAGCAAATCTGGTTCAGGATATCAGCGTTGACCTTTCCTCCTGCCTCACTTTGGGGCATTTTCTGAAAAAGCTCAAACTCTCTTGAATCCCTCGTTGCCCTCCACCCTCAACGGTACTTTGGGACCAGCAAGTGAAGTTAACGGTAATATAGTTCCTCCCTTTTACAGATCAGTTTCCCTCTCATTTAATTTTCAGCATAGATCTGTGAACCAGGTGTCCTATGACCTGCTTCTATAGAAGAAATGAACGATAACTCTTGGTGCTTATATCATACACAAGACACTTAACTCTGCTAATTGCTTGACACAGCTTTCTCTTCACAACCATCCTGTGAGGCAGCACTGTGTTCCTTCCCATTTTGTAAATGAGCAAACTGAGGCTTAGTGAGTATCTGTAGTGTGTCCAAGGCTACACGGCCAACATGGGACTTGGATCCAGGTTGTGAGTGGCAGAGATAGGACTTTGATACAGACCTGTCACACACTCCAGCTTTTGTTTTTTGCAATGCCGTCTTCCAGAAGAGTTGTGAATTTCACCCTATTTTGGAGTTCCTCATTAAAATGAATAACACAGATATTAATATTTCATTGAGCTCAATGTTTGATCCTCACTAGGCATACTATAATTTATTTGAAGTGCTGGGGCTTATAATCTGAGGCTTGATTTATTTTTTATTTTTTTTAACTTATTTTTTATAAGATTTTATTTATTTATGAGAGAGAGAGAGAGAGAGATATCAAGAGCAGGGGGGAGGGGTGGAGAGAGAATCCCAAGCAGACTCTGAGCTGAGCCCGGAGTCTGATGTGGGGCTGGATCTCACCACCCTGAGATCGTGACCTGAGCCGATACGTAGAGTCGGATGCTTAACTGACTGAGCCACCCAGGTGCCTCCTGAGGCTTGATTTAAAACAAAAAGATTTTAGACACCCTCTGAGTTGTCGCTTTGGGAGAAGATACAGTTATTCAAACAGTGTGACCATTGATGAGGACATTTTTGAATATCTCTTTTTTGGCATTGCCTTCAGAATCTATGGCCCATTCTTTTGAATCACTGTAGTGGTGGAAAATATTTTTCCTTGGATTTGATTTTGGAAATAGCCAAAATAAATGTGATTAATCAAATTAACAACCAACTTGGGTGCATTAGTTGTATATTGCTATGTGTGAATTATCCCCAAACTTAGCAGTTTAGAATAACGAACATTTGCTATATTACAGTTTCTGAAGGTCAGGAACCCACAGGCAGCTTAACCGAGTGGTTTTGACTCAGTCTCTAAAAACGTTGCAGATAAGATGTTGTCTGGGGCTGCGATCTCATTTGAAGACTTGACTGGGTCTGAAAGATCCACTTCCAAGATCATTCATGTTTGTTGGCAGGCCTCAGCTCTTCATGGGCTCTCGGACTGAGGGCTTCAGTTCCACCCCCTGTGGGCCTTTCCATAGAGTTGTCTGAATGTCTTCAAAACATGACAGTTGGCTTCCCCCAGAGACAATGATGAGAGAGAGAAAGAGAGAGAGAGGGAGAGGGAATGAGCAAGACACAGAGCACCCAAGACAGAAGACACGGTCTTTTGTTACCTAATTTTGGAATTTGTGTATTATCCCTACTATGTATTTTATTAGTCACACAGACCAGCTCTGGTCCAGTGTGGGAGGGGAATACCTGAGTGTGAATACAGGAGGCCATCTTGGAGGCTGGCTACTGCATTGGGAAAATGCCATTTGGGACCAAAAATATTTTATGGATATAAATTAATGTGACTGATCCTTTTTATATGGCTCAGAAGGTAATTCCAGAGCTGAATTTTAAAAACATTTTGGGCCTTGGGAACATCATGGATGCAGCTATGCAGGCACCTCAGAGACTTCTTCGAAGACAACAATTTAATTTACTTCACCAAATGTGTGTCACAAGCACTGAGCAGGTCTCATGGAGGACTGAAAGGCAAATATGACAGTCCCTGCTCTCGAGGCTTATAGTTGTGGCTGGGACAGATCACACATGGAGAGAAATAAGCATGGGTTCAGCTGTGACATCACACAGGGGAGGGTGAGGGAGAGCCAGGTAAGGAAGACAGAGCTGTCCTGTTCTTGGGCATCTCTCATCAGTGTGGGTCTCGTTATGCTAGTCACACCTCTTCCCACTGTTCATAGTTGCGGGGTCCACATTGTCTCAGACCTTGGTGTGAATGACAGAGCCTATATGTCCTTTCATCTGTAGAGAGCCTGAGAGGGATCTTCCCTCCTGGGAATCGAGGGGACCCGAACAAGTGGCGCAGACTTCAAGAATAAATGCTGGCTTTGAGTAATGGCCTCAAGGTAAGGGGATGCAATTAAAAATGTGTACTTAAAAATAGAAGCTGCTTGGAGTGAGTGCCTTCACACTGCTGCCCTCATGCCCTCAAATGTCGAACTCTGCCGCTCAGCTCTCATCTTTGCTCGCCTTCCCACTGCCTGGTCTCCTCCCAGACTCTGTCCCTCAGTCGTCTCTCCCATCCCACACACCTTGAGCTTTCTCCTGTGGCTTTTGTATTTGTCACCAGTGACATGATCAAGTGTCCAGTTGAAGAGCAAACAGACAGACAGAACAGCCCCTCCTTTGACGCTCCCCTATCCCAGCAACTGCCCTCCCTCCCTCCTTGTGCACTGAGCTTCTCCACACAGTCGTGGTCTTTGGCTGCTGCCCCACCTTGCTCACCTCCCATTCGTGGTCTACTTTTTTCACCCTGGACTTTCAGGCCTCAGATCCACGAAATCAGATCTGCCTTCCTTTCCTCAATCAATAATTTAAATACTGGTGACCACTTGTGTTATGTCCTTAGCCTACCCCCTCCTTCCACAGATTGCTCTGTCATCTCTTCCACCTACCCGACTTCATCAATGATCTGCAATTATTTCCGAGCACACATCTCTTACCAGGCTCTGTCCTGAGATCCAGGCTCACTGGATGCAGTTGCTATGGGTACCTGTGACCGCCTGGAACTCACCCGGCCCCTTCTTCAACTGCCTTTCTTAATTGAGGGAGTCACCATCCATCTAATTTACTCAAGCTCAAAATTTTAGAGCATCATTGACTCTTCTTTCCCCTTTCTCTTCTCCCCACATCCACGGGGGTCCAGTCTTATTGATCTTGGCCACACATTCTCTCTGGCTTTGGCCAATCATTTCAGTACCATCACCACTGACCAGTGCATACATTCTTGCCCCAGGTCCTGATCTCATGCTGTCCACCTTACACGCTATCCTCAAGCTTATCTTGAAACACAGAGGAGTCTCTGATCCTTTCCACATAAACCCCCTAATGCTCGCTTCATTTGGGGATAAAGCAGAGGTATGCAAAAGGCAGACACTAAGCCAAAAGGAAGAACAGCCTATATGCCCCTAGTGTGGTGGGGAGCTGAAGACTGAGCCCTGGTTTACCAAACCTGCACTGAGTATCACCGAGTTTATGAATTCCCAGTTACTAGGGATTGAAGCAGATGTAACTAAGTCTTTCTAAAGGTTCCCAAGTAGTAAGGGGACACTTGAAAGTAGAAAGGGCACACTTGAAAAGAATCTTCAGATGCAATTATAGACATCGATTCAATGCACATTCATTTTTACCCACACACACACACACACACACACACGTTAATAACAAAGCTTGAGCCTTCACAGACTTTAGTTTGCATAACACTGTATACCATCAGGATAAAGTCCGAGCTCCTTAGCATGGCCCACAAAGGCCTTGGTGATCTGGCCCCTGCCCACTTCTCCTGCTCTGCCTCGATCCTAAGCTCCAGCAGTACTGACATCCCATAGCTTGTCCTGCTGAGACCTCTGCATGGAAGAGCCACCTGGCTAATCTCTCCTCACCAGTCAGGTCTCAGGGCACTGTCATTTCCCATGGGAGGTCTACTCTGACCCCTTTCCCATTGTCCTCATCACAGAGCTTGCAGTTGCTCATCTCCTCTCTGTCCCACCGGGCTGCACCAGACTCCCTAAGTGCAGGGCGCAGGCACATCACGTGCCACCATCGCCTAGTGCCCTGCACAGAGCCTGGCGCACAGCAAACACTCGACAACTATTTTTGAGTGGATGACGGAATCCTTCACTTTAGGTTCCTGAGACTGTCATTAAAAAAAAAATCAGTTAAGCATAGTATAATTAATTTTCAACCACTGGAATTTGAAAGAAGTCAACAGTCATTTTACAAAAATAGAAGGAAAATTTACCAGTGAGGCTGTATTGGATGAAAGATGCAAATGGTAGGTTTTCTTTTTAATCTATGTGCCTCCTAAAAATAAACACCGGCTTCATATGGAGATCTAGACGCTACTCATTATGAAGAAATGGACTCATCGTATTCCTTTTTTACAAATTTAAATCATTTCCTTTTGCTTTATAGAGCATCCTCAGGGGCAAAATAGAATTCTCAGTGAACTGTCTGTATTTCATTTATTTATAATATGATTATATTGGGCATATTCACATACATGGATTGCAATATAAATTATTGATTTGATTTCTATAACAAAATTGATTGCTTACCAACTGTGTCTTTAAAGGCAGTGCCCATGAAAGGCTCGACAAAGCCACCCTCACCTGGACATCGACTTTGACTTAAGTCCCAGTTATGTCCCTGCACTCCTGCGACCTTCAGATTTCCCCACTGGGCTCCGAATTTCCTAGAATCCCAAAATGAGCCTGGGAAGGCCAGCGCAGGGACTGGAGTCAGAGGACCTGGCTCCAAGCCTGCTCTGCCACCAGGAGCTGGGAGATCGTGCTCCAGTCTCTTCACCTCTCGGCTCACTTCCTTCAAAGGTTTATTATTATTTTCGTACTTGTTTTTGGCCCTGCTAGACCATGAACTCCTTGGGGATGCATGGCCTCGTCATCCTTATTAATTATTTTAGTTTACTACTATAAAGTTAGGAACAATGTCTAGAACATAATAAGGGTTCAATCAGGTTGGAAGGAAGGAAGGAAGGAACACATGCATGACCCAAATCAGGATGACTGTGTTCAAGTTGTGGATGACATTTATCTGGGGGGGAGCTCCCCGAAGACGGAAGCTTTGGTTCAGGGAGCACGGAACCCTCAGAGCCTGGCTTAATAGGGGGGCTGAGTAAGTATTTTTGTAATTTAATAAACACTTGTTCTAGGATTCTTTCAGGTTGCTAAAAAATCATTTCATAGATAGGAGTAGATAGCGAAAGGTAATATTTCAACACGAGCTTTGGAATTTTTTCTTTCTTTCTTTCTTTTTTTTTATTTCTAATGTCTTCATTATCATTTTCCCAATAGCAAGCACCGCCTAGCCTCCTGCTGGGGGAGGATAAGGACTCTCTTGCGAAAGGCAAAACAAATATGAATGTGACTCCAATCTTGTCTGCAGCCCTCATGCCCTACCCTGAAGCCAAAAGACAATCTATTATCAGAGGCTCTGATTTCATGGGCTCAAGGCAGAGTATCTGCTCCCTCTGTCTTTCCGTTGAAAGTCCATCTTGTAGGGGAGTGAAGGGGCCACCAGCTTTGGAATATTTTCTTATCTGCTACTCTAACACAGGGGCCATGAAGATCAGGTCCCAACTCTCACGCTGTAAGGGATCTATCTGAGCATCTAGCCCTTGCATGATCTTTATAGCTGGACTAGTTCACACTCTTTAATTATGCAGTGGCCAGACGACCACAAACCACACAGAGTGCACCCAAACCACAGCGGCGTGAGTGAGGCGTTTTCCTTTGCGTTGCAGTGTCATTCCTGTGGACCCCTGAAACTCTGCCCAGAGCAGCAAAGCAGGCTGTTGCTAGTGAGGCCTGAGGTGGACAGCTGCATGCTGAGAAGGGTCAGTCTCACGAGTTTGTCAGTTTGCTCAACAAATGTGTCTGGGCCCTGCACCAGGGAAGATCAGAACTCTCAGGGGTGCCTGGGTCTGTGTTTGGACCCATCCCGTGCACTGCCTTTTATAAATCTTGCAACAACTCCTGTGAAGTTTCGTCATTATTTCTGTGTTTTGTAGATGAGGAAGCGGGGGTATCAGAGGCTCTTGCTCTCAGAGGCAGTGTTGAGATTGGGATTTTAAAGATTTTTTTAAACTTGTTTATTTGAGAGAGAGAGAGCAGGAGTAGGGTGAGGGGAAGAGGGAGAAGCAGACTCCCCGCTGAGCAGGGAGCCCAACACGGGGCTTAATCCCAGGACCCTGAGATCATAACCTGAGCTGAAGGCAGGCACTTAACCGACTGAGCCACCCAGGTGCCTCCAAGATTGGGATTTTAGCTACAGACATCTGTCTGTCTTTCTTTCCCTGCCCTGTGACACTCTACCTCATGTCAGTATCTCCAAGTTTAAGAAACAGCAGGAGGGGGCAAAAGCCCAAGGATTATTATTTTTTTTAAAGATTTTATTTATTTATCTGAGAGAGGGGGAGGGGCAGCGGGAGAGGGACAAGCAGACTCCCCACTGAGCACAGAGCCCAGCACAGTGTTTGATTCAAGACCCCGAGGTCAAGACCTGAGCTGAAGCCAGATGCTTAATGGACTGAGTCACCCATGCACCCCAAAAGCCCAAGGATTATTTATATCTGTCACCTGTTGGGTGAAGCTAGGTAGGCAGCTGCCAGCTGGAAGTCAAAGACTAGTTACCTGGAAGCGTTAACACACACCTACCTATCATCAGCTAGCTAGGAGGGGTGACCCCACAATGTGGGCCCCTAAGTGAGCTGGCTGAGTGATTTCCATATTTGAGTGTCAGACCCATGAATGACAACTTGTTGTCATGATCTCCCATGGCTAACCCCCCCCTCACTGGGAGAGCCAGGACCATCCCCCCACAACGTCTGAGCTAGAAAAGTCCAGCCAGTGCTCGGGAGGTGGAAAGGCAGCCGTGTGGGACTCTGTCCACTTACACTTCGCTCTGATGCTCCTTCACTGAGCATACCTGAAGGAAGAAGGACAGTTCACTCTCATATCTTGGCAGTTATGATCTACAAAGTTGCTGCCAACACCGAATTAGCGAATACTGAGCCGTTGCTCCTGTGGGAAGTAAGGGTGAGGCTCCCGTGAGCCTCTGGTCACCTTTTGTCAACAGGTCAGCACACTACCTTGTTTTATGTGTGTTTCTGTTGAAAGGCACCTTATTTAACATCCACTATTGGTTCATATCGAACTCACGGTCAACAGCACTATACCTCAGGCCTGAACAACGCTCCTCGAACACACACGTATTCCCCGTGAGGCACGCCAGAGCTTTCCGTGCTTAACAGTCCTAGACACCACCTCAGCACCATGCGGGGGCGCCACTGGAAACAGCAAAATCACCAACAAAAAGCACCAAGATGCCCAAAGCATGGCCCTAAATGGTCTGCAAGAAGGACACTTGTTTACAGTATGAGCTGAAATAAGGAGGCAGAGCATCACCTTGTTTGACCTTGGCTGGCAACATGCACTGCTGCGTCCCAGGACCTCTCTCCACTGGTTCTGCCCTGCTCTCCATCCGCCTCCTGGTGCCTCCAGCCCCTTTGCCCACTGAACTTTGTGGCTGCATTTGGTGCTTCTTTCCTGGCTCTCCTCTCAGCCACGTCTTCTCTCTGTTCTGCACGGATCTCTCTTTTTCCTCCTGCGCCCCAAATGGGGGTGGCCCCGGAACTCCAGCCTTGGCTCTTCCTCTACTCACGGTCTTCTCTTTCCCAGTGATTCCAGGCACCCCCGGCACTTTGATGCCCATCCGTCGGGGGGAGGGCATTCCACCCTCCTTTCCCCTGGTCTGCCCTAGCCAACAGCATGCCAGACGCCTCCATCTGGATATACGGACACATGCTCAAACCAGAATTCTTCCCTTCAGGATTAGTCTTCCTCCTGTAACCAACCCATCTTCCTGGTCACGCAGATCTGAAACAGAATCCTCTCAGACCTCCTCCCTGCCCTCATCTGCCCAGCCACTGCATTCTGCTGTCTTCCTCTGAAGAGTTTCCCAGCTCTGTCCCTTCGCTAGCCTGGTGTAGTCAGCATCTTCCTGATGGTCCCATCTTGCTCCCCTCAAGGTCACCTCCACGTGTCATCAGAGTGATGTTAACACTGGTGGGGTTGGGAGTGGGGTCTAAACTCTCTAGTGGAGGAATCGGGCCCTCTGCACGGTGGTGTGGTCCGTGTCTGCGTCCCCTGCTTCTCTCTGCCTCCACCTGACGTGGAGAGTCACATGGCTGATTATTGCCCCGGGCCCCCAGTCTGGCTCTGACCTCCCTTCCCAGGTCCCTGCTGCTGTGCTCCAGCACCCCACCCCAGCTTGTCCTCGGGGTCTAGCTCACATGTCTTCTCCAGGAACCCCTCTCCTCGGCGTCTCCTGCACGCGAGTATCCCTGGAATTACATTTACCGTACTGTACTCTAGTCTCTTATGGCTTCTTTATGGTTGATGATTTCTTCCCCCCTCCCTACTTCTTTCCTTCCTTCCTTCCTTTGATAGAGGCTACACCTTATGTTTATAATCCCCAATACTTAATGCATACATGTTTATTGGACAGATGAATGGATGAATAAATGAATGAATGAATACTCCCATCTTCAGCCCCATACCCTCAGATGGCCGTAGCTGAGGTCTGTCTACCCCTTTACCAGCTCAGGTGGCTCTGTCTTTCCTGGCTGCAGCTTTGGCTCAGGGCCCCTCTGGCCCTTCCTTTTTTGAAACTTGAGTTTCCTTTCTGGGGCGACCTCCCCTTCCCCTGCAGGTATCTCTTACCTCCTTTCTTTGTTCAAGGAGCTGGCCACTTCGCATAGTTGCTCCAGACTCTAGTGCCCCCTTGGATTCCCTTTGAATACACCCAGGAGTGCTGGGTCCTGTGTCTCCATAGCAAGAATGTGGAATGCATGCCATGGAGTCTAATCGCCCCCTTCTCTCTTTTCACAGCAAAATGCATCAGAAAGAATAGAAGTGCCAGTGAAGAAAGATACTTTATGAATTGTGTGATTTTTCTTTTGATCGGTTCCAGTCCTTAATAAATGCTTTACTCTTCCTCTTTTTTCATTGCCTGATTAAATAAAAAAAAGGTATAACTATCAAATTTTTAGATAAGAAGCAATGACATGAGAAGATTAATATTACCTAAGGATTTTAGGAGCTAAGAACTCACAAAGTGGCCATGCTTAGCATAATGATGTCAAATGCATGTTTTAGATCAACATGCAATGATTGTAAATTCCTTATTTTTAAAAAGACAATCAGTCCAGACAGCTTGGTGTCAAGAGTGTCTTTCCTTTTGTGACTTATTTTAATTAAAAAATAATAAATCATCTGGTGAATTAGGGATGAAAGGCAGTCGCCTCCCCATCACCAAAATGTCTCTGTGGATTCTTTTTCTCTAGACTTCTCAGTCCAGGGCATCAATATAGCAAAGCCAGCTTTCTGTCAAAACAGATATTGCCAAGAAAGTACCCAAGGACAGAGGTCTGTGTTCCCAGGCCGCTTGGCAAATGCCTCAGTTAGGGGACGCTCTTGGAGCCTGGCCCTTCTGCAGCAGGTCCTGGGAGGATTATAGGATGTGAGAATCTACAAATCCAAATGCAGTCCCTTTCCGGTGAGACTGAAACCCTTGTCAGATCCCCCTGGCTTTCCATGAAGACGTCACAAGCTCCTGAAAACTATTTCTTGAATGGATGATACACTAAAGACATTATTGGTTATTTGCACCTTCATTTACAGGGTGCTGGGTATTAAAGAGGGCACTTGTGATGAGTACTGGGTGTTATACACAACTAATGATTTATTGAATACTACATCAAAAACTAATGATGGGGCGCCTGGGTGGCTCAGTTGGTTAAGCGACTGCCTTCAGCTCAGGTCATGAT